CTAATAATAGACAGGGAGGCTCAAAGAGGAAAAGAAACTTCCTCACCATGTATACCCTATGCACACGCATCCTTAACTTAAAGGACAGCAGAGCTGATCATGATGCTCAGACCCCTGTACAGGAGAGACAACCAGGAGTCAGGGCAGATGGCAGGCACGTCTGGTGGAAGGGATTATCCCAGCTCCGCACCCAGAGCTGCAGACACAAGAGGCTCAGGGCCACAGCTACTCCCTGGTCATCGAGCCAGGCCCCAGAGTTAAGCTGTGATTATCTTGTCACTGTCAGTGAGGGCTTCCGGCACAGTCATTAAAGAATGCCATGGGCTTTCCATCCCCTTTCCTCGAGAGGGAATCACAGGGCCTGCTGACCATGGGAGAGGGTGGGAGGTGAGCCGGGAGTAACAGCAGCAACAGTGACAACAGTCAAAGCTGTCATAGTGCTGCCTGCCTGCAGGACAGCTTCATATGCAGGTGTCCCTGGGTACCCATGGGGAACTGCCCACCCCATCTGCAGATGCTCAAGCCATTTCTTTCTTTCTTTCTTTCTTATTTTTGTCTTTTTCGTTTTTATCGGTACCAGGGATCGAACTCACGACTGCTTGCTTGCAAGGCAGGCGCTTATGCCGCTGAGCTAAATCCCTAGCCCCCAAGCCATTTCTATAAAACAGCATGGCATTTGCAAGCTTGCCACCGTCTCTAGTTCACCTAATGTAAATAGTTCTTTTAGTGCATTGCTTAGGCAATCACTGTATCACATTCACTTGTCTGGTACAGATATACTTTATTTTTATTTTTTAAAATCCGTTTCTGTTTTATAGGACTGGGGACTGAACCCAGAGCTACAACCCCAACCTTTTTTTGGCTTTCATGTTGAAGCAGGGTCTGGCCAAGTCTCTAAGCTGCCCAGGTCTCTACCTGTGGTCCTCCTGCCTCCCTCTCCCAGCATGCTGGGGTTAGCAGTGTGCACCCAGCTTTCTTTTTTCCAGTACTTTGATCCCTGGTTGGCTGAATCTGCAGGAGAGCTAACTATACTATCTTATTTGATTTTCAGAACCCCACAGCATCATCCCTGGGTTACTGTCGAGAGCACTGAGACACAAAGGGGCTGAGTGCTGATGCACATGACGCAGTGCAGAAGTGGCAGAGCTAGGATTTGAACCCCTTTGGCCGGTTTCTGTGTCTATACTGGATTTTTTAAAAAGCCTTTTTATTATAAGACAGGGCAAACAAAAAACCACATAGAACAAATAGACAACCTACTGAATTATTATAAGGCAGCACCATTTTAAGCACTGTAATGGTCCAGAATTAGACCAGGGCTCCACCCCCCAGAGAACGCATGCATGTCCCTCCTCCTTTCCAAAAGCAACTGCTGTCCTGACTTTTATAGTAAAAAATCCCTGCAAGTTTCTTTATGGTTTCTCCACCCAAATGCGCATCTCTGGACACCATTTCTATCATTTGGCTAGACTCATTGTTTTAAACTTGCTATCTTTTAAAATCTCTTCTACTTTTTTTTTCTTCCTGGGGTGTGTGCGTGTGCGCACACTAGGGATGAAACTCATACATGCGAGGCAAGTGCTCTCCTGCTGAGCTGTGTCTCCAGCCCTTCAAGTCTGTCAACTCCCCTGCCATCTCTGTTTCTTATGCTTGATCTCTTGAAGGATCCCCCTCAGTTTTCCTGTATGGTTTCTCGGTCCTCATTTTGCTGCTAGGAGCATGTTCCTTTGTCCTAGAAGTTCTTGTAGCATCCCAAGGCATGATAAAACTCAAATGAGTTTGAGGCCCGAGGAGGACATATTAGTCCCCTTCCATCAGCCACGAGTCCGTGCTCTTTTTTTTTTTCAAACTGAGGATTCACAGAGGGATTTGTGCATGCTAGGCAAGCTCTTTAGGAGCTCTTAAAAAGCTCCAAACTTTTTACTTTATTTTGAGACAGGGTCTTGCTAAGTTGCCCAAGCAGGCCTCAAACTTGAGATCCTCCTGCCTCAGCCTCTGGAGCAGCTGGGTTTACAGGTGTGTGCTATATGCCTGGCTAAAACTCAAGTCTTCAGGCACTGCAACAGCAGCTTCCTGGCTGCCTCCAGCTGCTCTATATTCCTCTACCCTCTGCATAGATCTGTCCTCAAAGGTAAGCCCTTCACAGGCACCAGGCTTTCTGTTGTGAGCCACAAAAATAAGAGGGTTGGTAGTTCCTCAGAGGTCCCACCTGAGCCTTCCTTACCCTATGGTCTGTGGTGGCCTTGGGCCCTCCCTTCTCGCTGGGTGTCACCTCTCTCTGCTTCTCCCAGGCCAGTACACAGGACAGATGGTCTACTGCTTAGTTTACAAAAAAAGGCGTGGCTGTTCCTTTTCTCTGAGCCTTTGCACATGTTGTTCCTTTCACTATAAACACTCTGTCTGCCCACATCTTCTGACAGCAGATTACCTGTCCATCATGGTTTAGCAAACCCACTCCTCCCCCTCCCCTTCCCCACAGAATGGACCAGATACCTTTTTTTAGTATGTGTGGTACAGGAGACTGAGCCCAGGATCTTCACACTGAGCTATGCCCCCACTCCCTTTGTATTTTGAGACATGATCTCACTAAATTCCTAAATGCCCATACTGGTCTCAAACTTTTGATCCTCCTACCTCAGTTTCCCAGAGTTGAGGGATTATAGATGTTCACCACTATGCCCGGTTAGAAGGAGCCTTTTTTGTCCTCTCTGGTCTCAAGCCTACCCTAGTTAGTATATTATCCTCATCTGTGTTTGTTTGTTTAGTTGGTTGGTTTTTGGTTTTTTTGAGACATGGTCTTGCTGTGTAGTTTAGGCTGGCCTTGAACTCACTATTTGGCCCAGACTGGCCTCAAACTCTCAATGATCCTCCTGCCTCAGACTCCTGAGTGCTGAGATTACAGGCATGTGCCTGGCATATCTGTTTTCTTATCTATTTCCCCCACCAGACTCCGAGCTCTTTGAAGAAATGGACCCTGCCATAACACCTGGGACATAGTAGAAGCTCAATAAATATCAGTAGGGGTGGAGGATATAGCTCAATGTTAAAGTGCTGGCCTAACATGCATGAGACCTTAGGGTCCATCTCCAGTACTACAACATAAGTAAATAAATTCTAACACATGCATGAATGAGTGAATGAATTAGACTTTCCAAGTCACAAGGAGGAAACTCAGTATCATTTTAAGGCCTCTTTGATAAAGTGCTTTTCTAAGATGACTCACAGGGCTTTAATACCAGGAAAGGTATTAAAGCAGAAGTACAGTGGGGCAGAAAGAACTCCCACCGAGGCAAATGCATCTCGGTTCTTGAAAAGTTACAGAACACTTTCTTCAAACAATCCAGTAGCAGCCCTAAAATACAACACAGGTGAATGGGAGGAGCGCTGGGGTCTGGCATCAGAGGAGGTGGAAGCCCAGTCCCTGGGCTCCCCTTTCCCTGAACACGAAGTTTCCTCTGAACAGTGGCCCTGCCATGACCTCAGCTGTCATGTCTTTCAGTTTAGCAGGCCACACACTGGGGACAGAGGTGTCCTAGCTCACTCCTAACTGTGGCCCGTCCTGCGGTGCCCCCAGGAGCTGACCCTACCAATTGACAGAGATGCCTATAGACTGCCCCTCCTCCCACCCAGGGCATTGTGTCTGTGAAACAGCACAGAGTCTCTGGGCAGAACTAAGCTGGCACAGGGGCAGGCAGGGCTGCAGGCTCGCCTAGCAGGGCACACAGCCAAGGGCTTAGCCTCAGAATTGGATTATTAGAGTGAATTGGGAGCGCCCAGCCTCACGGGCCTCAGGGACATGGGGATTACCTGGGTTTCTGGCTGGGGCTCAGGGTCATCCCATATTCCCTGCCAGGTCTAAGAACAAGAATCCTCTCTCTGCTGTGGCACAGGGGGCGGGGAGGCGCCACTCACCTACCAGCTCCAGTCTTTACTCCCACAGTCTGTCCCAGCTGCCTGGACATGCCTAGGACCTACAGTTGATCTCTTCAGACCGTGGACCACTGGCTGGCGGCATCAGCATCTTCTGGAAACTTGTTAACAAATCCTCCAGGTCATTCTTATGCATGCTAAGGTAGAGAATTCACGGCTTGGACTACACCGGCCACCGTACACACGTGCCCAAGTATTTCTCAAACCCACTAAGCTGTCGAACTTCTCCTGATGCCTTCAATCCTTCCCTGGTAGGAATTAATTACAATGCTTACAATGGATCTAATCAATATTGGCTCAATCCACCGCATTTGTGAATAGCAGGCCCCAGAAGGACACAATCTAATACCCCAAGTGTGCGTACTCTGTCCTGACTCCATCCTTTATTGTCTCCATATTTTTATTGGTTCTGAGATCACAGGGCTGAGGTCACCTGGGGTGGGCACATTGAGGAAACTGAGGTTCAGTGACGGGACACAACTGGCCCAAATTCACACAGCAAGCAAACCCAGAGACTGACCACTGGACATCCTGCTTTTCATTTCAGGGCAGGATGGCAGCTGTTTCAACATCTGTCTCCTCTCACACTTCAGGATTTCCTCCAGACCAAAGGCTTGTCATCGCTTCCTCAGGAAATCCTTCCCCGACCTCCCTAGAGCAGGTCAGGTATTATATCTGCCGGAGGTCCCAGCCTTTTTCCTTTACAGCAGGCTCTCCATTAGTAATCACATACGGATATGTTTATGTTGTGTCTGTTTTCCAGACCAATACAAATACTCCAGGAAGTCAGGACGCGGCACAGACCCTGCTAGGCACTTACCCACTGGTCATCCGCCTCTTATAGAAACTGGTAAACAGGGCACCTGCATACACAGTGGAGATAGCGTCCCTCAGCCTCCAGCTTAGGGGAAGGTGACAGGTTCGGGCTTATAAAATGAGAATGGACAGGTCTGTCACAGTCACTCCATAAATGTGTAATAAATGCAGGCAAGTTCAGCCATTTCAGAGTGTGCAGGTGGTGCTTGAGAAATGTGTGTGCTGTCTAACCAAGAAGCCAAGACCACCCCAGCTTCATTCTCTTGGAAACATTTTTATTGATTCTGAGATCACAGGGCTGAGGCGAGCTGGGACGGGCATAGAGCTAAGGAGGGCAGCGAGAGGCTCTGCCCTGGGACAGACATGCTGTGTGGGGTCTGCTGGCGGGCTCCCTGGCCCACCCAGCCAGCGGTGGCTGGGGACATGGCACTTGGCGCCTGGCACGACCTCTGCCGGCTTGGCATGGTGGCCTCCTCATCAGCGGGCGCCCCCTTTTCCAGTTGCAGGAGTTGTGAGTCTTTCACAGTGCAGAGGGGTGGGGGTCCGGGGTGGGCACCTCCCCCGGGTGCAGGCAGGCCCCATCCGCCAGTACGTCCTGGGCTCGGGGCAGCTGCGGCGGTGGCAGGGCGAGGCGAGCTCCGGCTCCTCTTCTCCCCTCCCAACCTGGGGAGCTTGGCAGTCCTGGTGGGGCCCTCGAGGCCTCAGCGGGACATCATTCGGACAAACTCTGCAAAGGTACAGGAGCAGCAGCAGTCAGGGTCCAGCCAGGCCCTTACATCCACTCTGCCCCCTCCGATCTATCTTCCACACAGCTTCCAATCTGTACAGCAGCCTCTGCTTAAACCCCCTTGCGCCCCCACAAGATGTTCAGGGTACCGGCACAGCCTTGGGGCCTGGCCTGATCTGGTCCTGCTGACAGTTTCAGCTGTATTGGTACATGCACCCTGCAGTCTGAGCTGTGACCACACAGACCTCATTTGCAGAATTCAGGCGGCTTGTGCTTGCGCTTTCTAGCGTGGGCTCCATCTTCTCATCCCTGTTCTCAGCTTTGCTGCACCCTTTACCTCTCTTGCTTCTTTTTCTCCCCCTACACTCCAGTGGTTGTTTTGTTTGTTTTAGTAGTTTTATTGGGATCCCTGACTGGATGGGACAGAGATTTCCCTTATACCTCTGCCCCACACATGCATGGTCCCCTGACCCCCACCACTGTCTCACCCCAGAGTAGTTAGTACATCTGATGCCCCCATGCTGACCTACCCTTAGGACCGGCCCCATACCCACGTTTACTTTAGGGTTTGTTCTCAGTGTTGTATATTCTATGGTTTTAGACAAGCATACAGTGTGCATCTGCTCTTCTGGTCTCAAACAGTAGTTTCCCTGCCTGAATCCTCTGTACTCTATTTATCCCCTTATCCTCTTTCCCCAATCCTGATAGCCTCTCATCTTTTCTGAGAGATTTGCCTTTCCCAGAATGTCACAGAGTTGGAATCAGTGTGCGGTATCTTCAGCTTGGCTTCTTTCACTCAGTCACATATATTTGAGGTTCCTCCATGTCTTTTCGTGCTTGATGGCTCAATATTTTGTAATGGTGAACAATATTCCACCGCCCTCTGCACACCACAGTTTATTTAGCCCTTCACCTACTGAGGGACTTCTTGGTTGCTTCCAAGTTCCGGCAGTTATAAAGAACGCTGCTATAAACATCCATGTGCAAATCCCCATGTGGACATAGGCTTTCAACTCATTTAGGTAAATGTCCTTCCTTCTTTTTCTCCTGGTGGCTTTTACCCATATTGCAGGGCTCTGCTCATTTACCTCTAGGAAATCTTCCCTAGTTCTCCCCAGCTTGGCCTAGGGGCTCCCTCCACACTCCGCATCCTACTCCCCCAACACAGTGGGGACTCCACTGATTTCCTGTTTCCCTTGCTGGTCTTGGGCTCTTTTTTTTTTTTTTTTTTTGTCTTTTTCCTTTTTATCGGTACCGGGGATCGAACTCACGACTGCCTGCTTGCAAGGCAGGTGCTTATGCCGCTGAGCTAAATCCCCAGCCCCTGGTCTTGGGCTCTTGAAGGTAGGGACCAAGTCTCAGTACATAGCAGGTGCACAAGAAACACATCTTGGTAGAATCAATGGGCAAAGCCTGGCTTTGGGGGACGGTCCATCATCTGAAGCATGCAGGTGGACAGTGTGACACAGGGCGACCTGAGATTTTCCAGATCTGATGGTCGCAAAGCCATCTCTCCACCTATTCACACTCTTCCCCTGGAAGTGTGGCCAATTACCTTTAAGACCTCCCAACTTTATGTTCTGGACACACTCACAGTCTGGCTCAGAATGCAAATCCCTGGAATTCAAGGTCAACATTGTCCTCCCCCACCCCATCCCATAGTATTTGGAATGTTGTCATGAACAAGATTATCTAGCAGATGAGATTCCAGCCCTGGGTTTGTACCTAGCTCTGACACCTAGTAGCCACTCTTGCGCAAGTTATCTACATCTCAGTTTCTTCATTTCTTTAGGAGGTAAGAACAGTACAATCTATGAATCACTGTGAAGTTAAATGAGATAATATATGTACATTTACTTAGTACAATGATTTGTAGAAAAAGTGTGCAATAAATAACAATCATGATAATTCTTTTTTTAAAAAAACTCTTACTGAATATTAGCTATGTGTAAGGACCTTTGTTAAATAGGAAATACAGAGATTTAAAAAAAAAAACAAAGCTTCTTTTTGTCTTCAGTTTCAGAGTTGAGTTGGGCACAGCTATAAACAGCAGTTGGAAGATAACTGGAAGAACAGAGATGTCAGTGGGCAGGTGAGGAGGGAGGGGTGCATGGAAAGGCAGGACAGTACCGAGTCTGGCTGGACCGATGACTGCGTGAGGGTCATGCAGTCGGAGTCTCTGTGGACGGCCTCTGCTGGCCTGCTTCTTGCCCACTTGCCAGCCCTACCTACCTTCAAAGTCTACTCGTCCATCCCCATTGAGGTCCACGTCTCGGATAATTTCCTCTATGTCTCGGTGTCCCACCTGATGGCCCAGGAGCTTCCTCATGGCCTCTCGCAGCTCACTGGTGCTTATCTCCCCATCACCATTGGTGTCAAACTACAGAGGGAGGAGGAAGGGGACAGAGCCACAACGTGGAGACCGTGGAGACCGGCAGCAACAGATCTAAGGCAGAGATCCTTTCTCAGCCTCAGTGTCCCTCTTTCCTCTATGTCCCTTCTCTGTCCAAGTTCCCTCCCCTGGCCCAGTAGCCACCACAGGACTTGGCTTCACATACTCTGCCCTCCCCTGCCACCCACTGATCCTCACCCACCTCTCGAAAGGCATCTCGCAGTTCCTTTACGCCAATCATATCTGCTGTCTCTGCCAGGAGTTTCGGCCCCATTAGCTCCACGAAGTCATCAAAATCCACATGGCCACCCACTGGGGCAAGAGGAAGGCGCTGGGTCACCCTTAAGGCACCCATTCCCCATCTCCACGGAGGCAGGTGCGGGGATGGCCAACCCCTTCCCGATCTGCCTGCTTGAGTTCCGGGGCATAAACAAAGGCCAAAGGAGGACAGAGAGGTGACCAAAGACAGGGGCCATGACAAACGCTGGCTCAGGGGAGTGGCCAGAGATTGACTAAGGGGACAGGTCAGAAAGTGGAGGCAGGAGATATAGACAGAGGCAGGTGTGGAGAGACCAATATACACCCGTGGAAAGACAGAGGGGACAAGAAGCTGAGGGTCCCAGCCTTCCCCTTGCTGTGTAGATGCAAACTCAACTCCCAAATGGCTTTCTCCACCTGCTCACAGAAGCTTTCAACCCCTGATCAGTAGGTGCTGGGGGCAATCCCAGCTCGAGAGGTGGGGATGGGGAGAACTTGGAGGTGGGCACCCTGTATTCATCCTCTGACCCCCACAGAGACGCAGCCTTCAGCCACCCAGAGAGGCAGCTGGCTTGAAAGTGAGCCCCGTGTCACCCCCTCCCCACTGCCGCAATGCCTCCCTTCACAACAAACATTTTGCACCTGCACCCAGACTAAGACCGAGAATTACATCCTTGTTTCACACATCTGATACGGTGCTGCCTCTGCATGTTTCTACCTGTTTTGTTCACTGTCAACTGGGTTTACACCTGGAGCCTAATGGAAGCTTCCAGCTGGTTCCATGATGAGCTACATCTCCAACCCATTTTTATTTTTTCAGTTTGAGGCAGGGTCTTCCTAAGTTGTCCAAGCTGAACTCAAACTTGCCACCCTCCTGCCTCAGCCTCCTAAGTAGCCGGGATTACAGGTGTGCATCACCACTCTCCCTACTCCCTCTGATCACTTTGTATCGCCAGCCAGGTACACTACTGTGCACTTTGACATATATTCCCTCATTAACTTCCTGCGCTCCTCTCCTTTACTGCGCCTTCATATGACAGGTTTGGACTCTGAGGCTTGGAGAGGGTAAGCAGTGTCCACCAGTCACAGAGCTGAAAAGAGATGGATGCAGAATTGGAACCCAGGCCTGTGTGAGAAGAAGGGAAGCGATGTCCTGGGGAAGAACTCACGGTTCATGTTGATCTGCTGGGACAGCTCGATGAGCTCCATCTCCGTGGGCATGTAGCCCATGGTGCGCATGCAGTTGCCCAGGTCTCGGCAGTTGATGTAGCCATCCTTGTCCTTGTCAAACTCTCTGAAGGCCTCTCGGAGCTCTGGGGAAGTGAATGAAGGTGGATGTGGTTGGTCTCTAGGAGGAACCCTAGAGACTCTGGGGACAAAGGCAGCCTGGGGCTCAGCAGCTGGAAGAGGTACACCCTGTATCCCCCAGGACTCAAGGGTCTGCAGCTTGCTCCAGGCTCACTCCTCCAGTGGCGGGCTCCACAGCAGGTCCCTGTCTGTCCCAGGTCCTCATCCCAGGAGGCCATGATGTCTCTGCCTTTCTTCCCACCAACCTCCCTCCTGCACCTTCTTGGAGCGCTGAGCAAACCTTTTCCCCAAGGTCCAAGTTTTACCTTCAATCTCTTCTGGCCGCAGTGATCTATCCTGAAACAGAAGAAACATACCCTGTTAGCAGAGGCAAGGGACCTGGAAATTACCAGACGCCCATCCAATACAGCCATCCAAATGGCAGCAGGCACCAGGTGGGAGCGGACAGAACAGAGCAGAAGTTTGTCTGGACTGTGTCCTTGCAGCCACACATGTTCCATAGACACAGAAGCTCCTGGACCCCAGGTAGAATATGCACCAGGACCCAACACTGCTCAGGAGCCTAAGCACAGAACCTCCAGGTACAGGCATGGGCCTGGAACAGAGCCAGCCAGAGGTAAAACCTGTAAATAAAACAGGGCCAGGAGAAGTCACACAGAGAGGAGAGAACACCACCCAGTGGTCTCAGAGGGAGCCAGGGAGGGGAAGCCTGCAAGACAATGGGAGAAGAGGGATTTCAGGGGGAGAGAAAACAGGGAATGCACAGGCAGCCCCAGAGAAAAAGAGGAAGAGCTAGGGGCTGTTGGAGCCAGATCTGGGGCTGTGCCCTGCCTCCTGGGCACTGTCCCATCTTCCCATTTGACCACTATCCCTATACCTTGTCCTGTCACAGGATACAGCATAGGACCCTGGGGGCTGCCAGTGACTCTAGCTGCTGCCAGGGCCCAAAGCACACACTTCTAGCATCTAGCAGGCCCCAGGTCTCCTTGGGGAGTCAAAGAAAACCTGGGTCCAGGCATCAGAACAGATGGCAGAGAAGTCTCCAAAGAGCATGCCCAGAGGAAGCATGGAGCAGGCTCTGGATGATGCCCTAGGCCTGCCCAGGAGGAGACAGATTGGCATGGAATAGAGACAGGTGCCCACATTCCACTCCTCCTCCTTTGGGAAGGAAGGACAAGGACGTGAGGCAGGTGTGGCCTCCCCAGGAGACTCACAGCAGGTCTGGGCACCTGTATCCAGAACACAGACACTCAGCAGGCCACAGTGAGGTGATGTACACAAGCTGTGTGAGCCTTGGGCCTCGCGTGGGTGGAGGCTGCAGCTGCCCACCCACTCCACACTGGCCCCAAGGGAGAGCTCTGGTCCCGGAAGGGTCAGGGGAAGGGGAAGCAGCTCTGCTGTTGAGTGGGTGTGAGGCCAAGATAGCAGCCTGCTGGCTCCCAGGTCCTCCAAGAGCCCTTTCTAGCTGAGGGAAGGAATCACCTTAAGAGACCTTTGTCTCTGTGAAATGATTACTGCTGGGTGACTTTCACTTAAAAGGTTCCTTGGCACAAGGGCTTATCACTGCTGTTTGAGACAGGGATGTGTGTTTCTAGGCTTTCTCAGGTGACCAAAAGGATGCTTTTTTCAATGTGTTATATTAGTAGTAAGTGAAAGCGAGTAGGGTTGTCATTCAGTATTGGGGGGGAATATGTTCCAGGTCTCCCTGTGGGTACTAAAATCTAAGGATGCTCAAGTTCCTTTTATACCATGGTGTGTCATTTGCATATAACCTATGCATATCTTCCCAAACAAGCTTTTTTTTTTTTTTTTTTTTTTTTTTTTTTTGTCTTTTTGAGACAGGGTCTCACTATGCAGTTCAGGCTGGCCTTGAGCTCACTTTGTAGCCCAGGCTGGTTTTGAACTTGCAATGATTCCCTTGCCTCTGCCTCCTGAGTGCTGGGATTACAGGTGTGCACCACCACGCCTGGCTCTCCCAAACACTTTTAATTATCTCTAGATGACCTGGAATTTCCAGTGCAATGGAAATGCTGTTATACTTTACTGCTTAGGGGATAGTGATGAGAAAAAGTAGTCCATGCATGCTCAGGACAGATGCAACGTTTTAAAAGTAGTTTTGAAGCCAGGCGTGGTGGCATATACTTATAATCTCAGCATTCTGGGATGCTGAGGCAGGAGCATGGCAAGTCTGAGCCCAGCCTGGGAAACTTAGAAAAATCCTGTCTCAAAATTAAAACAAACAAAAGTAAATAAAACGAAAAACAAAAATGGGGAGAGACTGGGGATATAGCTCATTACAAAGGCCTTGGTTTTAATCCCCAGGAATGGGAAAAAAGTTTTTTAAATCTACAGTTGGTTGAATCCACAGAACTCACAGAAAAGGGCATCCACGTGTATATGTGTGCATCTGTGCAAAAGATACACTCAGGGACCAGTTACTTAACCATACCAGTTCTTTCTCATCCAGCAGGGTGCTGTTGATTCTTGCCACAGCTCCTGCTACACCTCTTGTATGCTCAGAGCCCAGGCTGCCGCTGTCTTTCCCAGCATGCCTCTGTCAAGCACCCTGGTGATTGAACTTTAGTTCAGAACAGTATGGAGTGTACACTGTGCTCAGATATACAGTCAGGGAATCCCACCAATGTGGCAGGAAACCTGGTGCCTCATTTCAGGGAGCCAGTGGAATGAGGCACATGCACATTTTTCCCCCCAATTTATGTAGGTGGACACAAGAGCTTGGGCCCCAGAGTCAGACAGAGCCAAGTACAAATCCCAGAACTGCTATTTCCAGGCTGTGGGTCCAGGGGCAGATCATTTCCATTCTCTGAGCCACAGTGTCATCCTCTGTAATATGGGTGAGTACTGGTACCCACCTCACAGGCCTTTATGCCGTAAGACAAGGCATGTAAAGTATTCATCATGTGGCATTTAATAAATGCAACCACAATGCTGTATCTGTAACATCAGCATCTCCTTCCGCCTTGTGACTGTTCACAGAAGGCAAACACAGTAGCTACCAGCTACCTATGCCTATTTAAATTTGCCTTAGAATGAAACAAAATAATTCAGTTCCTTTATGGTACTAATCACATTTCAAGGGGTCAACAGCTGTCTGTGGCTAGTGGTTACTCTAATGGACAGCACAGACTTTAGGGGATTTTTTCCCATCACAGTAGAAAACTCTGCTGGAGAATGGTACATGTCTGGAATAACTCCAAGCAGGAGGCTCTGAGGTCACATATTTGACTACCAGACTACCGTCAACTAGCTGGTCCATCAGTTTCGTCATCTGTAAAATAGGGACGATAAAAGCACCTACCTCTCGGAGTTCCTCAGGATTAAATGAGGGTGTCCACCAACACACTGAACCCAGTGCCTGGCACATCACAAGTGCTCCCCAGAATTTTCTCTGCTAGCATTTTCTTGCTAGGGAACATGGACTCACTTTGCAGCAAGAAGGGGAAACTTTGGGGATTCAATTTGAGAAGAAGCCACTGAGGGACAGGAAGTACTGGGTACAGAACCCTCACTTCTCCCCAGTGCCTCAATACACCCTGTGAAGCCAAGGTCAGCGAGCTCCACTGGGCCAACTTACGTACAGGCTGCCTGTTTTCAGCAAAACCCTTGCGCAGGAAGATGCAGGCAGGGCCGAGCAGGTTGTGCATGACAGCGCAGTTCTGGGCCAGCATCAGGAGTGGTCCAGGGAACTCGCCGCTGGCCGTCAGCCCCTCCTCACTGGTCTGCACCACCATGTAGCTGCTCTTCTCCTCTTGGTGCATCTGCAGCCCACACCAAGCAAATGCAAAAGAGAAGCAGGGCATCACCTCTTTGCCCACATAGGCCCTCCTGGCCTGGCCTGGCTCCTGGTCCTGGAAGGAGCCTCCTCAAGAGAAGATGCTTGCATGTTATGAGAGCCTCAGAATGCACAGGGCCAGGTGATACATCGGTCCCACAGATGGAGATGCTGATCCTTGACTGAAAGTTGTTCCAGGAAGAGCTGGCTGTGATGCTGTCTGTGTCACACTTTCACATGAACACACATGCACACATTCACAGTGACACAGACATAAACACAAGATCACATACTTGTGTGCACGGAAGCTAAGAGAATCAGACAGAGGGAAACTGTCCTACCAATGGGAAGCATTCTCTCGGAGCATAATAGAAAGATGTCTTTCCCCCAAATGTTCCTAGGATCCCAGCTCAATCCCTGAGGCCAAGCCCTGTGTCCCAGCTCCTGAGCTCAGATCCTACCCTGGTGGAATCCTATTGGGAGGCCGGGAGAGTGATCAGAGCTGGCCGCAGGGAGAACATGCTGAGTTGGTTTGCTAGACTAAGGTTGCAAACAGGTGCTGTTGCTGTTGTAAGTGAAGCTGGCAGGTTAAGGGAACTGATGCTGTGTGCTGTGCCCCACTAAATGGGCGGCACCACTTAGCACCAGCCCACTGTGGCCAGCTCTCCTGATCTAAAGCACCAGGTGGGCTAAATAAGACACGCCTGTGCTTCCACCCCACTTGTGACCTCAAGATTAGACAGGCTCCCAGCAGTTCTTTCCCTCCCTCCCGCCTTCCCTGGCTCCATGCCCAGCCTACTGGACCTCCAGAGGCTGAGGCAAGGCCTTGTCTGCTGACCGAATATAGCTGTGCTCCCGGGCCCTAGTCAACCCTGCCCTTCTCTCTGTAGGTTCCCACGCAGCTATAAAAAGTCACCACTGCCCACAGAGCTTCCCCTAAGACCCCAGCAGCATCCAGACACAACATTAGGTTCCACCCTGACCTCTCCAGCATGCCCAGTGTGTCTCCAGAGTCCAGGATATGGCTCTCTACCCTTAGCCCTGCACTGGGTGGTCTTCCTCTCAGTGTGGTGACCTGAAGCAGACTCTTCCCAAGGATGGACAGAGTAGCTGAACTCCCAAGGGCTGTCTTAGTCTGAGAACCCTGAGCTGCATGCCCCACCCTGACATCCAATTCACTCCATTTCTAGCTAGCTGCCTGCAGCTCAACAAAGGCCATGCCTAGGAGGAGATCCTAAGACCAAAGGGAAGCTTCTCCTGCCAAAGTGAGCCTCCATTCTGCTGCTTCTCCTGCTTCTCCACAAAGCCCCCCACTGTGGGGAGTCAGATGGAAACTCCTTTACAGTCCTAGAGTGGGAGAAACAGTATTCTAGATCCTCAAAGAAGAACAGTGATTTGGAACCGGTATCCAAGCCTCAAGTTCAGCGAGCATGAGAAGAATCAGTTTTAGGAAATCACAGAACTTGAGAGATTGTCAGACCAAGAACGCATGCTAGCTGGATCCCCCAAAGAGAGAAGGTTCAGAGCCTCTATTGTACTCACACTTCAGGACCCAGACGCAGACCAAGAGAATCCTTCCCAGGAGCCGGCATGGAAGGAAGCCTGGGACTGGACATGGCCTAACCCCAGAGAACGATCTTAGGGATGTTTGCACAAAGTCAGACTTTTCATTACTGGCTGAATCACACACACAGGGTTCAGAAAGAACATAATACAGGAAGGAGGAGGCAGCAGGTGGCATGGAACTCAGAGGCGGTTTAATACGGTGGCTTTGGACACAGTCTTAAGGGACAAGTTCTGTCTGTGCTACTTGCTTGCTGTGTGACCTTGGGCAGGTCACTTCAGCTCTTTATGCCCCAGTTTCCTTTCTGTACAGTAAGGACAGTCATCTCCTCTGAGGATTTTTGTGAGAAAGAAATGAGCTACTGCATAGAAACTGCTTTGCACAGTGTCTAGAACACAGTAAGAGCCAAACAAATAGAGTTGCCATAGTGATGATGATGATGATAGTGGTGGTGATGGTGGAGGTGATGCAGTCTAAGAGAGGCTGTGTACCAAAAGGCATTTTCCTCCAGTACCAGAGGAAGTGGGGGAACATCTGCCAATCAGGAAGGAAATGAGAAGGATAGAGAGGAATCTGTTCCCATGAAGAATACGCCAGTGGTGGCTGGGGAATTTCCATTGCATCTCTTGATCGTAACACTGCCTGGCACCAAGTTGTCCCTGGAAGCTGCAGTTCTTCTCCAGCCAGTGATGGCACCTGACAGCCTGGTGCTGGCCAACTCCAAGCCTGGAGCAGGCCGCCTCTCACAATTACCAGTTCCCTGGCTACCACTCAGGAAGCCAAGCCATCGCCTGACAATGTCTCCTGGCACTGAAGGGACATGTCCTGAGCGTGGAGTGGCACCAGGCAGGGCCAGTGTGCCTCATGACCTCATGGCTTTCTAACAACACAAGCTGGACAAAAGCACTGGGTCAAAACTCCCTCTCCCTGCGGGTTCAAGGAAAAGCTGAAGGATAGGAGTTCCAGGAGGCCGAAGAGGGAGCTGCTGCACTAGGTAGGATTTGGGCCAGATGACCTTGAAAGTCAGATTCAGCAATCTATGATGACATTTCTGAGAGCAGCAGAAGGAGAGAGAGAGAGAGAGAGAGAGAGAGAGAGAGAGAGAGAGAGAGCCAGAGCCTCTCCTGGAAGAAAAAAATAAGAATAAAATCCCAATTCTAACTTTACACTGTCCAGGGTCTAAATCCGAGCCCTCCTTGCTGTTGACTAGGTGACCTTAGGAAGCTTCTTATCTCTGTGTCCAGCTCCTTCCTCAGCAAGTTAGCAAAGAGAACTACCTAGTAGAAAAGAGCAAGTGAGATAGCAGATGTTGGGTATTTTATAAATAGGGAAAAGCAATTATTGCTACAGTTCTAAGAACCATGATACTGAATGCAATAGGTTTTATGATCTTTCATCTTATTTGATGGACTCAGAACATGAAAGTGTAGCTCAGTGGAAGAGCATATGCTTAACACCTGGGAGGCCCTGGATTTAAAAATGATAGCAACACCGCCAAGATAATCACAACTTCTCCTATTTTCTTTTTCTTCTCCATTCCACTTCACTAAAGCCCAGAGTAAAAAAAAAATTACGATTTCAATCAACAATAATGCTAACACTTATTGAGTTCCTTGCACTAGACACTGCATAGCAGAGTGTCATTATTTATTTGGTTCTTACAATCACCTAAAGACACAGGTATTAGACTGGGAGTGTAGCTTAATAGTAGAGCATCTACTTATCATGCACGAGGCCGCAGACTTAATGTCCAGCCTGGAGAGAAGGAGAGAAGCACAGGAAATTAGGAAGACAGGGAAAGAGAGAGGAAGAAGAGAGGGAGGCGGAGAGAGAGAGACAGAGAAATTGATTCATATCCCCAACTGATGAACAAAAGACCTAGGACACAGAAATTTGAAGTAATTTTCTCAAGGTCACATGAAAAGGAACACCTGAGTAGTGTCTCATGTACTCTGCGTTGAAGATATGTGAGGAAACTGAGGGAAAAATTCTTGTTTTTAAGTTTGACTCCTTCCACTCTAGACAGAACTCACTGTAAGGCATTCGCTGTGGTAGACTGGACCAACTCAGATCAGCTTCTGCTTCTCTGAAGCAGCATGGAGGCCACCTCTGAGGTGCAAGACTCCTTTAAGATGACAGATGGGGGGGGCATTGAGGACACAGAGAGAAACCATCAGCCTTCAGAAGGACTCAAGAAGCCGTGAAGATTAAATGGGATGTGATGTGAGCAGCTTAGCCCGAGGAGGAAGCTGACAGGCAGAAAAGCCCAAATGTCCTAAATTGAGGGGCGATCAAACTGATGGAGGAGGTAGGCTTGAGCTCGGGGAAAGGAGCCATTTGTCAACCTGTGACCTTAAGTATGTTACCTAACCTCTCTGAGCAGCAATCGAGTTCCCTATCTAGGAGATGGAGGAATGGGAGGAAAACATCTGTATCATTCCTTCTTCAATAGTATGAGTCCTAGGGCCTCACTACAAAGCCCACCTGAAGTGAAACCCTACAGGTGTGAGCCCAGACCTGCCTGAAAGATGCCTTAGAGGTGAGTATGTACCCCAGAATGTGACTATGTACACTCTTGCTTGACAAAGCTCTTAGGTACCCTACTTCCTCAGCTCCAAGCCAGTCATTCTGATCTTTCTTAGGATTCTGTGACCTGACTCAAGAATTACTGGGGGTAGAAAAAAGGATTCTCTGCTTGGTTTCTTTTAACAGCCAAGGGGTCCACTTCAAAAATCTCAATTCTGAGAGCCAGGCGTGGTGGTACACACTTATAATCCTAGCACTGGGGAGGCTGAGGCAGGAGGATCATTGCAAATTCTAGACTAGTATGGGCTACAAAGTCAATTCAAGGCCAGCCTGAACTGCATAGTGAGACCTTGTCTCAAAAAGACAAAAAGGCTGGGGATTTAGCTCAGCAGCATAAGCATCTGCCTGGCAAGTGCAAGTTCGTGAGTTCAATCCCCGGTACCAAACAAAACAAAACAAAACAAAACAAACCCTCAATGCTGAAGACATAGAGACCACTAGAGAGGGGTGCAGATCTTCAAAGGACAAGAATGAGCCCTGGGGCCAGCTCCTGGGAAAGGTCTTCTAATCCTGCCAGCTTCAAGGGTGTCTGTATAGTGATATCCTAAGCATCCACACTTGCCATTCTACAGTCCTGAAGCCTCAAAGCTACATGTTTTCTTTCTTAACTCTCATGCAAATTCCCACAGGCAGCCTCCTCTATCCCTGCCCCTTCCCACCCCCTGCCAGCTCTAAATTCCAACTTCAGCTCGGAGCTAAGGATATAAGAAACTGCGATCGGAAGGTATCCAGAAGAACAGAGAAGCAGCTTTGGACAGAACCCTCGGGAAGGATAGCAAGCTTCAGATGCCCACCCTGCTCCAAGCTCAGCCTCGGGGGCAGATGGCAAGATGTCCCAATCCTCAGCCCCAGGGCGTGGGGACTTTGGAAACATACCTTCCTGGAGAGATGTCTCAGTGGCGACTTGACACAGTTGCCCATCCTAAGTTGAGGCAGCCCCTCTCAGGATCCCTGGGTCCATGAAGAAGGCTCCTTGGGGACTAGAAGACCTCAGTCCAGGTAACCGCCAACCCCAGCCTCCCTCTGCCTGTGTCGCTTTCCTCCAGGACTGAGCTGAGCCCTCTCCCTTGTGCGCGTGCTCTCTTACTCGTCTGCCTGTTCTTGCTCTCTGATTTTTTTGGGGTGGGGTGGGGAGGTGGATTTTATGTGTGTTTGTGTGTCTGGGTTTAACTTTCTGGGCACTTTCTTAAGGAGACAAAGGCAGAAGAGGAGAGTGCAGTGTATAGAGAAAGTCTCCTGGAGAGCTGACGGCAGAGGGCAGCTGAGCTGAGACGCCTGTGGGATCATCTACATCAGATTAGAGCCGAGTCCGCTGTCTGCTTCTTTCCCCTTCCCTCTGCCCCCTCCTTTCCCAGCTGCCAAATCTGCCGGGAGATTGCCTCAGGGAGGGGACCCAGGGTGGCAGCTGCAGCTGGGAATTAGGCCAGCTGATTCAGAAGGAGAAGCTGGCTAGTTGGGTCCCCAAAAGCCAGGGTGCCTCATAGCTTGCAATCCTGTGTGCACACACTGACCACACACACACACACACACACACACACACACACACGCCACACACATGCATGCACACACAAGCCCCCAGGGAGATGTAGGCCTCCTTCGAAGAGCAGTGAGCTGGACAGGCAAGCATCCTCATTGGCCTCTGGCAATTCCAGCTGGATGGAGAGCAGGCGGCTGCAGTTAAGGGCCTGGGAGATCTGGTGACGTCTCTATTACGCTCCATTTTTCACACTTGCCTCATCATTGAACTGGGAAGAGGCTCGGAGGCTGGCAGCAGAGCTGATCTGACAGCTGAGACGGCCCTGAGGAGACAGGATGGAGGCCAGGCTTGCAGAGGGTGTGGGCAAGGTCTCTGGACCTTCTCCTCATGCTCTGCCTAATCCTGAGTGAGGATCTTCTATCGGCTTTCCTGTGGTGCAGAGGACCTTTATCAATGGCCCTCGAGGTCTCACAGCTGCAACTTTATACGTGGTCATTCTTCCTCATCCCTCTAGGTTCTGGCTTTGATGTGAATTCATCTCAAGCCTCAGATAGCCTATTTGAGACCCACAGTGGCAGCCAGATAACCAGAGACAGGAAGCATCTGTTTCCCTTCTCCATTTTTGCCCAGCAGGGGGCACCAGAGATAACAGGGAGGAGACCACCTCCCAAACTCCTGATGCAGCCAAGTCTTTTAAACTTGCAGTTCAGAGTTTCAGCCCACACTGGCTCCAGTCTCAGAGGTGTTTCTCCAGTTTGGGTGGCTGGTGGGAAATCCCTCAAGGGAAGGTGGCTGGGGAACTGCCCAGGGGGTTACACAGGCTCACTCCTAGGAGACAGGGAGGAGGTTCCCGGGTGGCTCTTGATGGTCAGCAGCCACTGCTGGTCTGGGAACGGTTTAACTGGGCACTCACTCAGCAGCCTTGTTTGGGCCAAACCTCCAAAGGAGGAGATGGAAATGGAAGGCACAGCCCCGATGCTTAAAGAACTGGACAGAGGTGATGACGCCAGGGAGCAGAAACGGGAAGAGCAAGCCGCCAGCATAAATGCCCTCTTCAAAGACTTCTTGTGAAAACAGAGCATGAAGGAAGCACTCTGCAGGCCTACACCGGGTCAAGTTCAATAGGCTCTGATGAATGGGAAGGACGAGGGGGGTGAGTTCTGCCTGCGGGTGATTGCCACCCATTCCTGAGCTTCCCATTTCTCCAGTGGAAAATGGGGCTTCCCCTATCTTGCTAATAAAGTGTACACAGGGAAGAGTGTGGCACGTCACAGGGACCTGATAAGTAATTATTCAAATGGAAGAGAGCTGTATCAGTTGCTCATTGTTTATGTGCCATGCCCTGCGCTTGACCCTGGGACTGCTGTGGGGACCACGTAAACATGGTGCTGCCTTGAGGGTGTTTATACACCAGCAGGTGGGTACCAGATAGTAAAGGAGCTATGGGCCCAGTTATTTTCACAGCATCTCAGATAAATACTACCAAGGGAAACACAAGAACTCTAAAACTACAAGATAGGGGAATCTGACAGTCTGGGGGAATCAGGAAAGACATATAGAGAAAATCTTAGAAAAGAAACAAGGTGGGTGATATATGCCTATGGCCCTGGCTACTCAGAAGGCTGAGGCAGGAAGATCGAATTTGACACCAACCTGGGCAAACTTGAGCCTTTCTCAAAATTTAAAAATTAAAACTTAAAAAAAAAATGAAAAGGGTTGACAATGTAGCTCTGGGTTTGAGCTGAAAAAACAAAAAAGAGAAAAGAAGAAAAGATAAGATGAGAAAAGAAGAAAAAGAAAAGAAAACGCCATTCACATTAAGTAAACAGGTGGAGGCAGGTAGAGGCAGCAGAGCATCAGTCATGGTTTTCAGCGCTGGCTGTAGACTAGGATCGCATGGGTCTTTACTAGAAATTCTGATTTAGGGCTGGGGGTTAGTTTAGTGCCTGCCGTGGCAAGCACGAGGTTGTGAGTTTAATCCCCATTACAAAAAAAAAAAAAAAAAGAAGAAGAAGAAAGAAAAGAAAAAGAAAAAAAAAAGAAAGAAAGAAAGAAGAAAAGAAAAAGAAAAAAATCTGGTTTAATAGATCTACATGGACTCGAGACACTATCTAGTCAGGGAATTTAAACCTGCATATGGTGAGAATCATTGAAATAGAGGTTCAGAGCTTGGCATACAATCAGACTAACTTGGGCTCAAATCTTGCCCTGCTGCTTAGTTAACTGTGCGACCTTGAGGACATGGTGGTCTTTCTGAACTTCAGTTTCTTCATTTATAAAATGGGGATTCCAGCAATGCCTTAGGGAGCTCACCAGGGTCAATGGGATAATTTGTGTAGAAGGTTTGGCACAGTGCCAGCCACTTAGACAAGAGCCCCTCCCGTTTGATCAGCGTCTTAAAGGGCTCCATGCAGCATTCGTCCATCCAGCATCCACTCAGACCTGGTGAGTCCTGCCCTCTGCAGGTCATACCAGGTCACAGCATCAGCCTGTCGACCTTGGATATGCCTCTGTCCTTGGAAACCCGAGACTGCAGACAGCAAAATCGGGTCCCTTATGGAAAAACCAAGTGCTTGAAGAAACCAACTACTGCTGCAGTGAGATGGGCTGACACTGACTGAGGTTTAAGGGCAAAAGAGATCCAAGAATTCAGATCTGGGGCTTCACAGCTTCGGCTAACCTCAGCAGGGCAGTGGTCAAGGTGGGGCAGATGGCTTGACCATCAATAGGAAATAAAACAGGGATGTTGGGTGGGGGCTTCCCCAAGGAATAAAGCAGATCACACATGCACCCCCTCACAATCCTTAGTCACTGAGCCACAGTCCCTGGGCCTCCGCAAGCCATACTTTTAGAGTTATAGAATAATAGGATCAGGCGGATGAGAAGGATAAACCCGTGGCCGATTATTCCTGATTAGGATGGAGCTGGCCTTCAGTGCTATATCAGTTCTACCACCAGCACTGGAACCTGGATAACAGCCCGGTCACTTGGATAACAGCTAAGACACTTGGGGAAAGCTAGGTCTTAACGTGAGAGGTGCTTTGTAGATGCTTCTGACAAACGGAGAACACATGTAAGTGGCTTTTGACCAAACCAGCTCAGTGCAGCATAGGCAGGTGTGTTTGGGGACAGGCAGTCCTGCCATTATGTACTGTGTGATCTTTGGAGAACTCACTCCCGTCTCTTGAGCCCATTTCCTGATTTCTAAATTGAGGGGTGGCAATGCCACTCTAAGCACACTGTTGTTAACACAGTGAGAAGAGATTTGGACAGTCGTTCAGTGGGCTCTAAACTCAGGTCTCCGGTTCCTTGGCTGCTTCCCAGAAAATGCAGACATCATGGAAAACGCCTACCCAACTGACAAAAGCCACTACTGTCACCTGTGATTGACGCTATTGACCTTCTCTTTCCCTTCCCAACTCCTGAAGCAAAAGCAACAGAGGAGGCTTGGCCAGAGCAGGAATGAGGAATATATATAGCCCTTCTCCTAGGAACACAGGCCAGGTGTTGGGGAGTCCATTAGGACCCAAACAAGCAGCAGGACTCTCTCCCAATTTAAACCACAGGAACCAGGAAACTTTAAAGTCCTGATGTGGTGATACCATTTACTTTTTCACATAATACTGACATCCTGCTGTGTGGAAACTAGGCTATAGTATCCAAATCAGAAACAATGTCTCTACAGCTGGGAAAAGGGAAAAGGCAGGACAAACCTATGGGCTGTATTCATACCTGCTTCCTCTACCAAGGGATATTTTTTCTCAATCTTAGAGTAAGAGTAGAAAGCCTGTTTATGAAATAATCCAAGATGTAAACCTTCAAATCACTCCTACTCTGAGTTAATTTCTCTCCCTGTTTTCCTCTTCTTTTTTTCTTTTTTTAAGTGAAGATTGAACCTAGGACCTTTGTACTAAACTATATCATCAGGCATTTAATTTATTTTATTTTGAGACAGGATCTCACTGAATTGCCAATGCTAGGCTCAAATTTGTGATCTTCCTGCCTCAGCCTCCAAGAACGCTGAGATTACAAGCATATGCCAACATGCCTGGCTTTACTCTCTGACTTAATTCCTGACAACAGCAACAAATTGTTTCTCCAGGAGACTGGGCATGTCCTTCATGGGCAACAGAGGGGGAATTAGGGATGATCCTTTGATGTTGAGCTCCTTGCTTTAATTACCTTCCTTATTCACTTAGGGGCAGCTTTCAAAATACTTTACACAGACCCTTCTCTAGACAATTACTGTATCAATGATAGCAATAATATTAATGAATCCTGCCCCTTATCCAGCACCCTCCATGAATCAGGTATTTAATATCCTTAATTGTGGGTAATTCTTTTAATAACTCTGCAAGGTAGTTTTTGTTGATCTCATTTCTAGATGAAGATACCAAGACCAGAAGGAAAAAAATGACATGCCAAGGTCATACAGAAGACAGAAAGTGACACAGCTGTGATTGGAACATGAAGTTCTGCTATCATTCAAGCCATGGTTCTATGCCTTGGCCCCAAAATCCTACTGTCTTCCTTCAGGCTGTAAGCATATCTCATGAGGTCACAGTAGAATCTTAAGCTCTGTCCTCCCTAGGTAGAATCTAATTTAGTACTTCTGATGTCACTCTGAACCTGGCTGTCCCTGACTCCATCACAAACAGAAAGAAGATGCCCTTGGTAAGCTGAATCAAGAAACAAAAATAATAACACACACTGATAGAGTTGTCCTCTGCCATGCATTGGGCCAGGCTCTCTATCACCATAACTCATTTAACTTTCCAAAGAGAACCTTGAAATGTAGTTTAGGCTGGCCCCAAACTTGTGATCCTCCTTCCTCAGCCTCCCGAGACATGCATTACAATGTCTGGCTCCAGACTCTTCTTGAGGTACTAGGAGTGACCCTATTTTGAAAGTTTTTTTTTTAAAAAAAAGAGCTTTAATTCAATCAAGGGATACAGATAAGGTTTTTTGGTTTGTTTTTTTTTTTTTTTTTTTTTTTTTTTGGTACTGGGAATCACAACCTTATGCTTGCTAGGCAGGCACTGCGTTGCTGAGCTATATCCTAAGCCATAGGTTTTTGATTTGTTTTTGTTTTTTCAGAACCAGGTATTGAACCCAGGACCATGTGCTTGCTTGCCAAACAGGCACCATTCATGGACTATACCCTCAGCCCCCATAAGAGGTTTCAAAAAGAGAAAAAAATAAAAAAAAATTAAGAAAGAGAAAAAGAAAGAACTAGAACTTGAGGAAGTTTCCTCAGGGATATTTCGCCCTAAACAGATCCCACCTGAAAGTTCCTGTAGTCAGAACCTTACTTTCCTCCTATTGGTTCCATCCTGTCTTTGAAGACAAAAATCTCAATGCACAGAACAGAGAAAAGGAAAGACTAATTCCTCTGTCACAGACCAGAGGCTCTGACACAAAAAATCCCAGGCTGGGTTTGTCAGTTCGTTGCTGTTGTTGTTCAAACAGTGCCTCAGAGGTGTCAGCAGGAAGCCCAAACTAAATGGGCTTTAAAGAAAAAACCGCAGCTCCCAGACGCACTCCAGAGGGAGGTAGTAAATATTTGATGGGACCTTCCATCTCCTCCTGACTCAGGTGACCTCAGTGACATTTCAGAACATAAGGCTGGAGAATCTTCTTCCTTTAATGACTGGGAAATTAGGAGGAGAAACAAAAGCACGAAGCTGCAAACCTCTGAGCTCATAAAGGGGCTGCGAAGGTGAATTCTCCAAGAACTAGAAGCAAGGACTTATTTTCTAAGAGTAAGATCACCAGCAAACTGATAAGCCAAGAAGTGTGTGATGCTGGGCCTTCCATACTGTGTTAGATCATTAGCCTCCCAAACAGCCAGAATCCTTGCTATCGTGTTTACTGTTGTCTCCTTAGTGTACAGAAAATGCCTGGGCAGAGTAGGTGTTCAAGAAATATTTGACAGATGAGTGAACTGCAGTCACCCATTCAACAACAACACAGCATATTTGTCGCAACCTGGTTCCTACCCACAGATCATTCTTCCCCTCACACTCTGCGTATACCTCTTCGCTAACACAGGAGCCACTGCAGTGAACTTCTCCCTCGGCATGTTGCCACACTAACTCTCAGAGCTCTGCATCCAAATCTGTACTCCGGAGAACTGTTTCCAGCTCACCCGGCTAATGAGGGCTCCCTGCAGGAACAAAGCCACACGCTGCTGCCCTGTCACACCACCACAGCAGCCCCGTGCAACCCGAATCCATGTGCAGCTGCCTTCATGTCAGACCTCCACTGACATCAGCCACTGCGGAGTAGTATTTTGAAAAGATTTGTGCAGATCTGAAGCAAAACACGCACGGCCTCTTTCCAACGCTGATCCAGCACAGCAAGCCAGGAGCTTGAGACAGCTTCTCTGCACTAGATCTTAGCAAGGAATGCTCAGGCCCTGTGTCCCCCACAAACAAAGCAACACTCTGACCAGACTTCGGTATTACACTCCTCTTTGGCTGCAAAACTGTCTCAACGTGGTGCCAACGAGTTTGACTTGGTTACACTCTGAACTAGAGGAAACCCAGGCTTTGTTCAGGACTTCATAGGTTCCTGTCTCCCCCGAGGCAGTGTCCCAAACTATAGACCTCCATGATGACCACAGAGCTGTTTGTAAAGGGGAGCTGTCCAGATGCCTGGACCCTTGAGAGAAAGGGCTGGAGGAAACAAAAGGAGCCACTGATGATCTCTTTGTGGCCTCTTTGACTCTCGAAGGCACAGCAACTCAGGCTAGGGCTCTCTGGGTGTTATTCCATGCCCTACAACTCCACAGCTGCCCTCCTGCCATCCTAACAGCACACCTGCAGTGTCAATCCCAAAAAAACACTCCTAAGTTCCAGTTTGAGCCCTAACTCTGCCTACACAGCAACTCGTGAGTGACCAGACACCTCTTTCCTCGTATTTTTGAACCCTATAACTTTCCCCAGCTTTTGGGGGACACTCCAAGCAAGCCTGTGTTCCCTAAGGTTATCCCAGACTCCAAAGACCCTGCTCTCTTGAGTCACTCTCTGTGCCGGCCACCGGTCAGAGGTGTGGGTTTGGCGCCATCTGCTTGGAGCACCCCTCTGACCTCAAGTCTCCTTAAGGGTCGTGGGGTTGCTCCCTTCTGGACGGCGGCTTCTAGCAAGAGTGAAGAGGGCTGGGCGGCGGTGCCTCGCCTAGGAGAGGCCCGAGCATGGACAGCGCACAGGGTGCTGAATCAGACACGGGGGTGGAAGAGCGCCGGAGGAGGGCAGGGTGAGCCGGGGTGTGACCCGCGGGCCTCGGGGCAGCGGGCACAGGGCTGTGGACGCGCGGCTGCTGCAGGGTCCCGAGCGCCTTTCCCGGGAGCGCGGGCGGGGGGCGCGGCCCTTACCTGGCCGAAGGCGGAGCTGAGCATGGGGCGCAGCCGGTGGAGGAACGGGTCCGCCTCGGTCGCGGCGGTGGGCACGGAGTCCCCGCGGCCCGGGGCTCGCGGAGAGCCCCGCAGGCCGAGCGCCGGGGACAGCCCCCGTTCCTCCCCATCCCGCCCGCGGGCCGGCGGCAGCGGCGACGGCGGCGGAGGTCGGGACGCCGCGGCCGGCAGCGCCTCCCGGGGCCTGCAGCGCGCCGGGGGCAGCCCACGGCGGCTCCCCCGCGCGCCCTCCTCGCGCGGCACCGGCCGGCACAGGGGCCTCCGCGAACTGGGGTCCCCGGACGGAGGCGGCGTGCTCGGGCAGGTGCCAGGCAGCCGGCGGCCGGGCAGCCCCGGATCCCGGGCAGGGCCGTGGCGGGGAGCCCGGCTGCCCCCGCTCGCCGCCGCCGCCGCCGCCGCCGCCGCCGCCTTCAGCAGCGATGTCTTGGACTCGCTTTTGGCGATCTGCGAGCTCATCGCGGCGGGGCCCGCGTTCGCATGGCCCGGCGGGGGCGGCGCGGGGCGGCGCGGCGCGGGGCCCCCGGCGGGCAGAGCGCGGGGCGCCCGGCGGGAGCCAAACCCGAGGACGCGCTGGAGGCGGGCGCCGTCCCCCGGCCGCTTAAATGCGGCCCCGTCGCCGCCGCCCATGTGACAGCGCAGCGGAGCCCCGAAATCTCGGCGGCCGGCGGTGCAGATCTGGGGGGCTGCCTGCAGTCCCCTGAGAGCCCACCCCCGGCTCGCGGTCGGCCCAGGTACCGCTGCGCCCCGCCCCTCGTCCCGCCCCACGCTCGGGGAGTCCCGCTTCCGGGCGGCCCCTGCTGGCGAAGGGGGTGCTGCGGCAGGGAGCCGCGAGACCGAGCGAGGGGCGCACCGCCCAGGAGCCCAGACCCTAGCAGCGCCCGCGGCGTCCCGCGCTAACCCGGGAGGCTCGCACAATGCCCCAGAACTGACCGGATCTCCAAAACTGCAGGCAGGGCGCACTCCCCAGGGGGTACAACTTTTGGCCAGAGGACAAAAAAAGAGCAGAGAAACCCAAACCGAGGCGCCGGAATGGTATGAAAGGACACAGTGAAAGGAAAAACCTCCACTCTGGGCGCTGCATCCACCCACAATAGCACGCAGCAGGACTAGGATGGGCCTGTAAGTCAGCCGCCAGGTCTTCAGTTCTAAGACCAGAAGAGACGCCAGGAAGCACCTGGCTGTATCACCTGCCAGGTGGGATCTATTTGCTGCCCCCACCCTCTCCAGTTCTTGTCCTCCACCATCACCATCACTTCCCTGCCCTTCTGGCTGCTAAGGAGATTCCTGCTGTTGGTAGGCAGCCAGGGAGTTACCCAGGACTGGTTTGAATCCCAAATCCCAGCACTGTGGCTTACCATCTGGGAATCTCAGGCAAGTGCCATCAACTTCGCTGAGCCTTGCATTCCTCTTCTATAAAATGCAGATGATTGCAGATAATAATCCTAACTAACTTCTTGGTGACATCAACTGACACCATGCACACAAAAGGCCTAGCCCAGTGCGTGGACAGGGCACACATGCTGTTAAACTAGTCCCCTTCCCTCTACCCACCTTGTTTAGTGATGGAATGCTAAAGGCTGGGTGGGTAGGGAACCTCTCCAATTCTGCTGTTCTCTGGCCCTAGTGCCATCTACGGTGTGGCCATTGCTTAACCTCGCTGGAAGGACAGATGGACAGTTGCCAATATTACACACACTTCGTTCATGTCAAGGAGCCTTTTTCTTTATACTATTTGGTTTGGTTTGGTTTTGCAGTCTTGGGGATTGAACCGAGGGGCTTGCTCATGGTAAGCAAGCATTGTATCACTGAGCTACATTCTCAACCCTTTTTGTTTTGAGCCAGGGTTTGAGTAAGTTGACCAGGCTGGGCTTGAACTTGTGATTCTTCTGCTCTAGTCTCCTGAGTAACTGGCATTTCAGATACAATATGTGCCACCACACTCAGTTTACTGTCTGCTTTTTTTACCTATGCATTTACAGGAAATTTAAAAATGGAGGCTGGGAAGAGACCTCACAGAGGCCAAAGTGAAGAAGAAAAGTACAGCAAATTATTCCCAGTTCACCTACTATAAGGGACCAAATTGCCTTATCAAAGCTGTACAGGTTCTTAACCATAAACGAAGGCCGGCTGGGAGGGAGGGAGGCAACAATCCTAAGGGCTCACTGCAATGTGCATTCAAATATGTGAATGTAAAGGGGTGTGAATGTAAACGGTTCACCCTCACAAACTTTGGGGCGAGTCAGTGTCTTACCTGTTCCAGTTCTCAGAATAATCAGTGTTTAGCAGGATTAACAAGTTCCTGCCAGCTTGAACCACTGAATGGCTTGTCCTACTGGTGGTACAAACAGATCTAATCACTTTTATCCCTTTTTAAAATGATCTTATTAATAAAAATTAATAAAAAGGCACCTGATGGGACAGTCATGCATGTGTCACCAGTGGTTCAAGCAGCCCAGCAGTGAGACATACAAGTTACAGCTTTGTCATGAATGTGTTAAAAACAAATGTACATTCACTATAAATCACAGAGATAAAGCACCTTAGCAGAATCCCTCAGGAGCTGATGAGGGCCAATGGGCTGATGGTTATTCTAAATCCCTGCTGTGCCACTTGGTTATCTTGCTGAAATCCCCTAAATATTCTTGGGCAAAACTTCTGTCAACAGCTTATTTTGGAAAAAACCTGATTTGATTACCTGTGATTATTACAGCAAACTAAAGAAATCAAAATTACATTCACAGAGCAAATGAATGAAACATCTGTACCTCTCTCCCAGATAACCCTGGGTATATACTAGAAGTCATTTCATTTATAAAAATTTATTGATTTGCTCATTTATTTAATAGATACTTAAGTGACCAGGCACTGCGCTCTGCATCTGGGATACAAGGATTCATCCATTCATTCAACAAATACCTGTTATTTGCCAGGCACTATTTCTTTTTCTCAGGGCTGTGATCAAAACCAGGGCCTCACACATGGTAGTACAGACTGTACTACTAAACTGCTTCTCTAAGGCATGCCAGGCACTATTCTGGATACCAGGGATATGGTGGGCAAACAAAACCATCTATCCTCAGCAGCAAATTTAAAGGAAAAAAAAATACATGCATGAAAAGTTAACAGTAGCATACTGGTGGTATGCAGCTCCACGAAAAGAAACAAAGCAAGTAATAGCACAAGGATTAAAGGAATGTGCTAGTTTATTTAGCACTACTGGGTCCTCCAGCCAGGTGCAGGGAGACATACCAGTAATTCCAGCATTTGGGAGGCTGAGGTAGGAGGATGACAAGTTCAAGGTCAACCTGGACTACACAGTGAGACCCTGTCCCAGAAATCGCAAAAATAAGCAAATAGTGGTGGTACATACCTATAATCCCAGCAGTCAGGAGACTGAGGCAGAAGAATTGCCATGAGTTCAAGGCCAGCCTGAACTACGTGGCAAGACCATCTCAAAAAGGCTGGGGATTTAGCTCAGCAGCATACGCACCTGTCTTGTATGTAAGTGTGCAGTTGTCAGTTCAATCCCCAGTACCAAAAAAAAAAAAAGGAAAACAACCACAACAAAACAAAACTCAAGAGTTTTATACCTGCCGGGGAAGTGTTCTGAGCTATGCTGTTACAACCTCCCCCACAAAGGTAATAGTTTTTGGTTTGTTTGTTTGGCTTGGTTTTTTGAGACAGGGTCTTGCTATGTAGTTTAGGCTGGCCTCGAACTCATGCACTCCTCCTGCCTGTGTTTCTTGTGCTGGGATTACAAGTGTGCACCACCATGCCTGACCAAGGGAGGGTGCTGGTTTAGAGACTGATTAGGAAAGTGCTCTCTGCAAAGGGATGATCTGAGCGAAAACTAAAATGGAGTAAAGAAGCAAATCAGTTATATATTTGGGGAAAGAGCACTCCTGGCAAAGGGGAAACATTTGAAAGTCCTGAGGAAGAGAGAGCTTGGCATATTCAAGAAGCAGCAAAGAGATGGCGGGTCGACATGAGCAGGGGAAACACTAGACTGAAAGTGGAGGGGACGGCGGGGCCAGAGACTCCACTCCAGGGCTTTAACTTTCTTCAAAGCGCACAAGGAGAGCTGTAGTGGGTTTCTTGTAGAGGACTAGCACATGACTGCCTGCATTATTCAAACCTCACTGGCTGCTTTGCAAGTCATGGCAGATGGCAGATGGGGAAATACAGCATACAGGGCCACTCAGGAGCGTTCTAGGTATGGGTGAGAGAAGATGGTGCTGGGACCTGAGGGGTGAGTGGCGGAGGTGGTAAGCACAGGTCAGATTTGGAAGATGTTTACAAAATAAGAAAATTCAGGTCTTGTTAGCAAAAGAACTGGAAAGAAGGGGGAAAAATGAGAAACAGTAAAGGAGCTACAGGCTAAGTTGCACAGAGTCACAAAACAGATTTCTAGGGGAGTTAGTATCAGAGGAAATAACATTTGGGCTGCTGTTTGCAGGTTGAGTGAATTCCACCAGGTGAATAAGGTGGGTCAGAGGAAGGTTGTTTGTTCCAACCAGAAGGAGTAGCTAAAGGTTTGGGATATGAACCTGCACAATGTGCTTGGGAATCACCAGCTAAGGTGGGAGAAAAACAGGTCAGAAATGGCCTGGAAAGGTGATTCAGAACTAGACCATGAAGAATCTTGAATGTGACATTTAGGAACTGAATTCATGAAGGTTTTATGAATATGTATAAGACACAACCAGAACTGCTAATAAGACCTTGAAGATAATGCTGATGTATTGGGTGGGGAGACAAAAGGAGGTGGAAGGGGAGGCCGGTAAGGTCCACTCATTTAAGAAAAATCACTGAGGGGCTGGGGATTTAGCTCAGTGGCATAAGCACCTGCCTTGCAAGCAGGCAGTCGTGAGTTCAAGCCCCGGTACCGATAAAAAGGAAAAAAAGAAAAAAGAAAAATCACTGAATGCACACACAGTGTGCACTGGGAACAGAATAAATATACCAGCATGCCTTTCTTCATAGACTTTTTAAGTCTTGCAGGGAGGTAATGTAGACAATGGGTCAGATTCAGGAAATGTTTTGGAGACACCATCATTAGGACATAAGAAAATCTTGGATGGGGAAAAGGATAAGGCTTCCCTCACTGCTTGTGAGATCTAATGGACATGGACTTACTACAAAGTATCCTGCCATGTAGAAATAATTTTAAAATCATCCTTTTGGATTAACCATGCCTTCATAGCTTTAAAAGCACTTTCGCAGGAAGCCTTGCACTCATGTTTAGGTGTTACATAAATTGTGATTATTAAATAATTGCACATCATTATAGTATTTGACTGTATAAACCTGGGGTGAAAAAGTATGCAAAGAAGAGCTGTCCTGTAGCATTGGAAGGACAACTTCTCAGCACTGCAAAGGCTGTGAAATAGGGAAGATGGGTCCGACCCACTGCCTCGGCACAGCAAGAATCGCTGTCTTTATGTCTCATCCAAGAGAATCCACTCAGAACTAAGGCAGGGATACGGGCCAATTTCCTAACTTGTATGCAGGTCTCTCACTGAAGTTTTCTCCTTCTGATGATGCCACGTCCCTATAGTAAATGCCTTTAAATTTGTTCCTTCCTGACCAGGACTGTATCACATGTTTAAAGTCTTGGAAAGGCTCATGGAGCAGTTACAGTGTTGCCTGAATTAACTTGCAGTGACGTTCATGTCTAGCTTGTTCCTCTCGGCTGTTACCAGAAACAAATTCTGCACTTAATCTCCCTTTGTTTTCAGATGACAAAATCTCTGTTAGGTTTCAGAAAGCTGGGATTACGAAATGTTCTTATGGTTTTAAATCCTCTGTGGTGATTGGCGAGCACAGGAAAGGATTGGAGGAGAAATTTCTTTTAGAGGGTGAGGGGACAGCGTACTAAATAGAGGATTCCTTTCTCTGTTGGGATCTAAATGTTCATCGTTTAAGAGGATTCCATGCTTTTGCAAATAAAATGAAAAGCTATGTAGGTTATAAGAATGTATGTGTGGATTGAAGTGAATGTACATCTCATGGTGTATAAATGATAATAAAAAGAAAATCAAAAAGTAGGACATAGAGAAAAAATAATTAATACTGGCTCAGTGCAATGGTACATCCCTCTAATCCGAGTAGTTGGGAGGCTGAGGCAGGAGGATCACTGTAAGTTTGAGGCCAACCTGGACCACATAGCATGATTCCATCTCAAAAAAAAAAAAGTTTTTAAAAAAGTTATAAGTGTTGTGAATGTTGCTCAGTATTTCCTGGGTTCAGTCTCCAGTACTAAATAATAACATGACAAGTAGAACGAACTCCTGGATTATCCTAGGGACATGAATTACTATTTTGAAAATAGTAGCAACAGAACTCACTTGATTACAAAGTCAAAGATGAGAAAAGGCATAGGTGAGAAAAATTCTATTCCTTATAGATAACTGATGGGTCAGAAGTTGTCACTTCTTTTAAACACAGCGCACCTGGGCTAGCTCAGTGGCATGCGCACTGGACTCACATATGGAAAGCCCCATTCCCATCCCCAGCACTGCTCAAAACAAAACCAGCACACCTGGTCTCCAACTATTAGAACACACCGCACCATCAACTTTCATTCAGAGCATTCCCCTTTCCTAACCCGGAGCGTGTTTTCAGCCACTCTGTGACAGTCCACGTCCAGACGGATACAGGAAGTGACCACCCTGGTGCCTTATGCCTTTAATATTGATGCCAATATTAAATTAAATTACTGGGGTACCTTAGCAGTGAGACACATGATAGGCATGCAGCACATCGGAAGTTACCCATCTCAGCCATGCAGTTTCCATTAGATGAAACGTGATCCAAGTTCAGATGACCTAACGACACTCCAGCCACGGTGGCCTCCTTTATTATCTGTCTCCCCCTCTGCTCCGTATGTTCCATGAAAGCAGAGACAGGGTCTGTTTTATTCACTACCAGATATCCAACACCTACCATGGCGACTCACACTTTATAGCATAGTAGGTGCTCACCTAAGATTCAGTGAAATTAGCAAGCAAAAAAAAAAAAAAAAAAACAAAAACAAAAAAACGTTTTTTTAATAGGAATCGGCCCTCTAAGTGCAGGAGGAGATAGAATTCAAAGAAGATTCTATATAGTTTTGGGTTTGTTTGTTTGTTTTTCCCTTAAGACACGTCATTTCTGTTGTATGTCTGCCCATCCTCGACCATGAGTGACCAGCAAGCATTAAGGTGCAAGTGACCTTTAAGGACCAGCCACGTTTGTGCTCAGACAGGAGTGTTCTAAGTTTTAATTGCTGGGAAGTTCCATCCAAGATCAGAGTCAACCAACAGTGCAGTCTGTGAGCAGGCGGCTACATCTGTGGCACTTGGAATTGTGCCTGGTGCTGCGCCAAGTGGACCCACTAGTCTTGCATGCAGAGAATGGGATGCAGTCTTTCAGCAATCGGAAAGGCACCACCAGAGCAAGTCAGCTGACTTCTAGTTCTAAGTTCTGGTAGCAGGAAGCCCACGATGCATTTGGTTCCTTGAGAACTGCCATTTGCAGCTTCTTAATGAGGTAAAGAGGCAAAGCCTTCGCAAGGACATCTGAACATTACAGTGCTGTCTGATGGAGCCTCACGGAGAAGCTCCTCGCTTCTCAGTCCTGCGGTAGTTTTCCCTTGGCCAGTCACTGACAGTAAAGGTGGATTCCAGGTAACTGCCTATCCGGGGCACAATCATTTCCGCAGGTCTCTGACTCATGTTTAGAGACAAGTTTAGAGACCTCACCGAGCAGATGTTTCGTCGCCTAGCTCTGACACAGACAGGTCTGTCCCTGTTCTATGTTGTCATCCAGTAACAAAGAGGTACACAGGGTCCCGGCTGAATGAAGATGTCAAAGCTCTGCCTCTCAAATCTCCAAAGATGCTTAGCCTTTGATGGAGGAGGGGTTTTAGTAAAAATCTGACAAATTCTCTGTCCTTTCAACTTCACTTTCTGTTCTCTTTTTATCTGCTTTCAGCATCTACAATTAATCTTGGGATGAGAGCCGAAGGCAAGGAGCCAGTGGTGCCTGAGAATGCTAAAGAGCAAATGGATCCAGAGAAACAAATGCCAGTGAGGGACCCCACCGCAGAGACAGCACGGTGAGCCACTCTCCTGTTACCACGAGGCTTGTGAGGCGTGTGTGCGGGTCTCTGCATTGGCACCATCTGCCAATTCCTCAGGAGGACAGAACAAACCAGCGAGGCATGAAGATTAGATTATGTAACGCTCGAGGATTGCTGTTTTCAAAGAGGAAACAAATGGAACGAATTGATTTGCCTGTCAAAGTCATGTCACCAAAGGAGACCCGTCATTCCCTCCTCTTCTGAGTGGACCTCATTAAAGAGGAGAATGATTTCACAGACTCAGAAAATGTGAGGCCGAAATCCACTCCATTCATAAGCGCAGGTCCAGGTTCCAGAGTTGCACTGACGATTCCTATTCTGGTCTCCCTACTTGAAAAATGACTATTCAGCTACTACCTAAAGGTCACCGACATGGCAAGGAACATAATTGCCAGTTGCCAGCCCCAAGATTTGGAATCTCTGTGTTTTGTCCAAACCCTTGCTTCTGGGGAAGCAGCATCTAATTTGGGGGCCAATGGAATCATATTTACTGTTCAGGCTCTAAACAAGTGCTTTGGCGGGGGAGGGGGGGCTGTCCTTTAAAACATATGCATCAGGAAGGAGAATGTGATGCATCTCTGGATTCTTTTGCTGTTGCTGGATTTTTTTTTTTTTTTGTAGTATTTACAGTGGATCTGACACACGAATGAGTGAGAACCGTGAACCTGAACCTGCTGCCATCGTTTCATTCCTAAAGCTTTCTCTGCCTTGCTGATACACCAAGACTGAAATATCAAGTCTTTATTCAACATGTAAATGAAAGCTGCTGTGCCAGATATTTTCATTCGCCCCTCCAGATCCACTTCTCTGTCCTGCTCTTCGCCCTGAGGTGCTGACTTAAACGAACTCCATCATCTCACGCCCTGGCCCTGCAGCTTTCAGTTGGGCACAGTGGAGGGGAGGCAGGCGCAGGAGACTGAAGGACAGAAGGAGGGTAAGGCCGAAGTCTCTAGACCCATGGCTCCCTCCCCGCCAGATTGCCTTAGGGTGGCTGTGTCTTTTGCTAAAAGGTCACCTCTCTTTCTCAAAGCAGCCCTTTCCACATAACCCTTTCCTTCTGGGATCTGTTAACTCCTGTCTCCTCTCAACCTTCTGATCTAAAGGTGATAAAGGCTGTTAGTAGCCCCCTTGGATACCACACGTATTCTTATGGTTTCTCAGTGTCCTGCTCAAACCTTGTAAATAGGCCTTTATTAAATCCTCGTGTAATTATCTAATTTGAGTGTGCCATCTGTTTCTTATACAGACCCAGCCTGATGCACCTACCACACGTGTCAGTCTTGTTCTAGGTCCTACACTTTGTTTTTTTCTTTTTAAGTAGTACAATTAATAGTACAATATGCTGCCACATTATATAGTTCTTCTGCTTGTTCACCTTTTTTCAAAGCTATAATAACAACTTAAAGATAAAACCTAATTCTCCTTTACAACATAATTGTGCAGTAGAGTTTGTATGAGCTAAATATAATTCAGAGAACAAGCTTTTTCATGCCATCAAAATTCATGTTAGCAACTATAAAGAGAAAACTCCAGAAATGATGCCCTTGACTAAAGATTTAGCAGGAAATATCTTCCAGTATTTAAACCAATCCAAAGAATACTTGAAAGTCTATCATGTGGCCAGAAAGGTGGTGATCTCACAGCAGGGAACAAGAGACGTGGATGTGATTTTGTGGAACTGGTGTTCCACACAATAACTATGCCCTCAAAAGGTTCAATGCAGATTGCATTTTCATAAATCAAATAATATATTGTGTGATCATGCAGAACTTAGTGTTTGCATAATAAGTTTGTAAAACAATCACCCTTTGATCTTTTGAGCCAATCAGGTTTTGAAGCACATCCATGCGGTGTCCTTCAAATGAAATTTATCTTTAGTCTGTGGGATGATAGGTCTCCTTCCATGCTCCTGAAATAGCAGAAATTGTGGAATGCAATTTAAAGGAAGGATAAGGGAATTTCCATTTATAGATCACATATAAAATGCTAGGCAATTTGCATCTGTTAGCACGTTTAACCCTGAAAATAAACACATATTCATCATTCTCTTATTTTCTACTTCTGAAAATAAATTTTAAAAAAATAAGAAAAATTAGTATTGGCAGGTATGGAGTCCAAAATCCATTTTTGCAAATGAGAAAGCAAAGCAAAAATATTATTCAGTGTAGGACTATGAAGATTACACGATTCCCTAGCTTCAGTGGCTTCCCACTGCTCTTGGGATCAAATCCAAAATTCTCCACATGGGCCTGTTCCCTCCACCATCAGTTCTCCCGACCATGCAGGCGGCTTCTCACTTAAGGCCTTCACGCTCCCAAGGTTCTCCGGTTGGTCTGCAGCCTCTTCCTCGCCTCTCCAGATTAACTCAGCCGCATCCCGGCTTCCGTTCAGTTTACACTTCCCAGGGAATGTCTGTCTCTCCAGCTGGGCCCATGTCACTGTATCCTTAGTGCTGAGCATGAGAGAAGGGCTGGACCATCATGCGTTGCCTGACTAAAGAACCTGACTAAAGAGGGGTTTGCTGCCTGATGGTGGCCACCTCCGCTGTTTCCTTCGACCTGGGCAGGGAGGGGGACGAGGGGGCGCTGCACAACATGGGTTCAATCCGGTGAAGGTCAAAGGAACTCTCATTTGAAGCTCCAGAATGTCTTCACCACCTCTGGATCCCTGTCAAGTACACATGAGAGGCTCCAGGACTGCCAACTGCAACTCAGGTGTGAGCATAATCATAAGAGAGCGTACCTCGGCCTGACACCTGCAAACGTGGGCTGCACCAGGCCACTTGACTAGTAGCAGTTGCACATGCGCGGAATGATTACTTGTGGCAGCTGCGCAGTTCACCTGGGCCGGCTTGAGTGAAGGCAGCGATGACGTTATGGTAGCAGGGTGACAGCTGAGGTGGTCAGGATGGCGTGAGAGTGTGTTGAACACTGCCCAGTGCAGGCACTGTCCTGTATTATCCCACTAAATACAGTACTAAAAATTATATATATATATGTTTTATATATTTTTATATATGACTAGTAATGTATGTATTTATATAATAGTATATATACAAAAAGATTTATACAGTAGGGGCTAGTGTATCCATTTTATAGACAGGGAAACTGAGGCCCTGGAGTTTTAGAACTTATCCAAAAAAATAGGTAAGGATAGGTGCTGAAAGATGAATTCAAACTTCTGTGACTCTGAAATGCCCAAACATCTCATAAGCACTCCCTCATTCTTAAGAAGTAACCTTCCCTAAGTGTGGTAGCCAGTGGGAGGGAGTTCAGCGGGTCATCCTAGGACAGCCACCTGCTTAGGTTCATGGCGCGTCCATCTCACCTGGGGCCTCCATTTTGCCATCTATAAAATGCAGACAATGTTGTCTGCCTCCCGTTACTTATGGGGGAACTCTTCCAACATGCAGTGATGCCTACTAGATACCAGGGTCTGCATACAGTTCTGCACTGGGCCTAGCGTGCACCAAAACAGAAGAGATCGTGCAATGAACAGAAGTATAAGCATGCTAGGAAACTCCAAAGCCCTGTGAGGACTGTCCTACAACCCTGCATGGGGTTGGACCCATTTCCCATTCAGGACAGATGAGATCTAAAAATGAGCCTGGCACCCCACTGCAGCCTGCAGTTCTGCAGGCTTCCTCTGTTGGAAGGTGGGCAGCTCTGCCTGGGTTTCTCACAGCTGGCTCTGAGGGACATGCAGACAACCTGTTACAGGTATGAGGCTTCACCAGCAGGCTCTTCTTCTCCTGCACCTTCAGAACAGTGGGTGTTTCCATTAGGTAATCACGGAAAGGTCTGCCATGCCTTTGGAAATCTCTACAATTTGCTCTACTGAAAACAAAAAAAAGCAGAAAGACAGACCTGTGCTGACATTTTGCTGGAATGTCCCATCTCTGACGGGTTCCCTAACGCATATAGCGGCCCATTCACACAGATGCATCTGCTCAGAGCTCTAAGCAGTAGCAAGAGCGCTGCTGGCACATGCCTGCTTACGGGCTTGAAAACTTTGCCCAGAAAAGCCTAATCTAAGACACAAGTATCAAGCCAGGCTGTGGCCAGCTCTCCTTTCAGGCAGATTTTGCAGAAAGGAAATCTCAAGAGCCTGGATGAAGGGACAGGGCTTGGGACTGTCCAAACTGCAAAGTCACTGAGTTCCAACAACGTGAGGCCCAAAGAGATAAAGTTAGCTGTTCAAGGTCACACAGCAAGCCTATAAAAATCACCATGAATTCATGTAGCCAACAAGTATTTCCTGAATGCCTGGCACTATCCTAGACCTTAGGGATACAGCAGTGTTACACAGACAAACATTCCCATTCTCCTGGAGCTGGCATTCTAGTAGAATAAAGAGACAAATTAGTAGCGTACATAGTATGCTAGATGGAGATAAGTGCTTTGGAGAAAATAGAATATAAGGAGTATATCGCCTACGTGTGATTTTGTTAGACTGGTCAGAGACAGCGTCGCCGAGGAGCTGGTGTTTAAGCAATGACCTATGCTGGTGAGGGAAGAAAACACGACAGTATCTGGGGAGAGTGTGTCCGGGGGAGGAAGCAGTCACAACAAAGGCTGGAGGCAGCCAGGTACTTAGCAGTTCCAGGAGTAGGAAGGAGGCCCCTGAGTGAAGGAGGGCAGAGAAGGGGCAGAGGTCAGTGCCAGCCTGTAAATCCAGTATGTGGGGTGACTGGGGCAGGAGGATCACGAGTTCAAACCCCACCTTGGCAATTTAGAGACCTACCAAGGCCCTCAATTAAAAAATGGCCAGGTGTTGTGGTACACGCCTCTAATTCCAGCACTCGTGGGGCCGAGGCAGGAGGACCACTTCAAATTCAAAGCCAGCCTAGGCTACATTATTGAGTTCAAGACCAGTCTGAACTACATGGTAAAACCCTGTGTCAGAATAAATAAATAAATAAATATTTTTTTTCTGAGACAGGGTCTCACTATGTAGTTCGAGTTGGCCTTAAAGTCACTTTGTAGCCCAGGCTGATCTCGAACACACAAGGATCCTCCTGCATCCGCCTCCCGAATGCTGGCATTACAGGTGTGCGCCACCACACCTGGCTATAATAATAATAAAATTCAACAAGGCTGGGAGTGTAATTCAATGCAGAGGTCCAGAGTGCCATCAAGCCCTCATACTATCAAAGAAAAAAGGAAATTTGCTTCCTTTCATTCATTCACGAAGCCCTGTTAGGAGCCACGTATTCTGCTGATGACACGCTAGACACTCTTAGAGTAACCAGGGGACACTTTGGCATTTATTTTGTGCTCAATAGACAGCCCAGAGCCAAGAAAAAGCCACAATCGATCTTCCCCTCACCTGCTCCTACTCCTCTCCCAGCCCTGCAGCCCAGGGAGAACAGGCCCAGGTAGCTGCAGGGCTCTGTACTCAGAAGGCTGCTGAAACCTGCAGGTTATAAATAGCACCTTCTGTGGCAGGGAACCGAGCTGCTCTGTCCGAATGAGTCAGAGGCGCAGAGCCATGGCCCCCCAAACTGCACTGGTGCTCCTCCGCCCCACCAGCCCACCTGGGGCACCCTTTCTGACCTCTTAACCCAACCAAGCCAGACTGCTGCTTCTCACCACAGTCCTTTCTGGTCCCATCGCTCCCTCTTTCTAGATTCTACCTCTACCAGGAACCCCAGTAGTTCTAAGGGAGAGGATTCTCTCATATTTTAAAGCCCAAGATTGACAGTTGTGATTTTCGGCCCACCTGGATTTTAGGTCCAACTGTGCTACTTCTTGGGACCTTGCACAAGTCACTTTACTGATAGGAGCCCTATTTTCCTCATTCATAAAATAGAGGTGATAACAACAGCAGCACCTACTATGTGGAACTAAAATAAGCTGCTTAAGTTATGTATCCCAGGGCTCAGCATACAGTAAGTAGCTGCTCAGTTAACAGGAGGGATAGTCTCTGTCTTCAGGTACATCACAATCCAGAGAGAGGTGAGAATAAATAAGAAAACAGGTTTCATCTACTCCACTGTGATTTTATATTATCGTATTTTTATTTTATTTTGAGACAAGGTCTTGCTATGTCGCCCAGGCTGGCATTGAACTCACTATGTAGCCCAGGCTGGCCTCAAACTTGCGGGTCCTCCTGCCTCTCAGCGATCCTCCTGCTCTACTTTGTACCCTGCAGTTCCAGCTCTGGACATATAACACGGTAATTCCTAACTTCCAAACCAAGCAGGTTTCACACACAG